CTCAAGTTAAGGTACTCAGGAAGTTTGAGGATTAGAAATGGAATAGGTATTATAGTCTATGTTGCTCAGATTTTTCAAAAATGTCAAGAGGTACCATGTCGGATACTCCAAAAGTAGTGCATTTTGGAGAATTCGACACGGGTGCGGCAACAATTTCAGAGATTCCAAGCAACATAGATTTTAGAGGAAGAGCCTAATGTATTGTATAAATGAAGTCACCAACATGAACTTGCTAGCTGCTATACATGATGGAGAATTTGGCAGTCTGCCAACAATTTACTTGGGGCTACCTCTGGGGCTAAATCTAAATCTATACAAATATGGGATAGAGTGATAAAGAAGTGTGAAAAAAAGCTTGCCAGGTGGAAAACTCAATACCTCTCCTTAGAGGAAGACCGACTCTCATTAATTCAGTCCTTGATGCTTTACCAACTTATATGATGCCTTTATTTCCCATCCCACCAGGGGTTATCAAAAGGTTGGACAACATTAGGAGAGAGTTTTTGTGGCAGGGAAACAAAGAAAAGAAAGGGTACCACCTGGTAAAATAGAAATCTGTGATGTCTGCTAAGAAGAATGGGGGCTTGGGATAAAAAATCTGGAATTTTAAAGCAAAGCTCTAAGACAGTTGTTGTGGAGCAGGGTCATTGGTGCCAAATTTGAAGCGGAATACAGCAGGGTCTAAAATGTGCATCTATGCCAGCGATTGGGGACCAAATCTACAATTTATCCAAGATGACCTTAGTTCCTATTAGACTAAGGGGAGCTGTTTTGAAAATCAATTAGCATTTGGCTCGAGAGGTGAGAAAATTCAAGTACGCTATGCTTTATGTTTAACAGATTGGCAATTTAGGGAAATTTGGTTATTTACTGTTTCAGGCATGTGAGTCTTCACTGTTTATTTACTTATCATCAGGCACATTAATTCTAAGCTTCACTGAATCAATTATCCTGTAAAGCACGAGATTATTGATAAACATAAAAGGTGGAATATAGGTGTTTAATAGTACTTACGCTCGATGCCACAATGGCAACATGGCCCTTGTTTACCCATAAAATCTGGTTCTGAATGATTCCAGTTCAAATCAGGTTGAATGTACTGCTGCTAACGTTAGAGTTGGATTTGCTTTCAAAATCTCAAAATGTCTGTCTGAGGCGACGGATAAAATATATAGACAGATAGACTACAGCTGGTCATTTATTTATGGAAATAGATTAATCATGATAGAGGGTCATTAACTTTGATTGATTCTGTTTTCCCTTTTTTTTTTTTTTTTTTGATAACCGAGAAATCCGTCTGTGATCCGCCCTTTGGACCAATCATAGCCTTCTAAACTCGGTGGATAATGGGCCCGCCCCTCTACCCTTCTCCACTTAAATACCGGGCTTCGCTTTGCATGGTATGGGGCTTCAACCTGCGACCTAAGCCACAAATCCTCCACCTTTTGCCACTCGAGCTAGGCCTTGGGGGATCTGTTTTCCCTTTTGTGACAGCTCATCAACTTTGATTACTGTAAATTCTCAATTATTGGCAATAGAACTCCAATGAGAGAAGTCTTAGATTCTCTATTAAAAAATGGGGGTGGGGATTTGGGGGAGAATGCTGGATTTGGTGAACCTTCATAATTTTAGGCCTTTAGTTAAGTGGTCAAGGCTTGTTAAGCAACAAATCTTAAGATAAGGGAGCATTAAATATTTTCAATATGATAATTGAAATATCTAAGAGTGAGGAAATAAGATAGTTGCCAAATAACCAAGTGAAAAGAAAATTAGTCGCCAAAAACTTCCCAATTGACTGTTTGAACACACCTTAGTGAGCTTCCAAATCATGAATGTTCTCATGCTTTTTCTTGGCACTTTTATCTTCAATTTTAGAGGTCCTTGTCTCAACTGTTAGTCCTGAAGACTCGACTCGCAATATTTTGGTAAGATGATATTGACTCATCTGAACAATATTTCCTTGTTCTTGAAATGCAGATAATCTATTACGGTCTTGGCAACCGTTTTATTGTTAAATGGACTCAGTTATGGATGATTCCTTTTCCAGGCCAGTCTCTGCTTCTGAGATGCAGCAGCGGCACTTATTTTTTCTATCTTACTATGCTTGTGTATTCATCTGCCGCCATTGACAGAATTTCGTGTATCTAAGCAGATGGATTTTTCTTTATTTTATTCTTACTGACTTCCAATTCACAACCACTATCATGCCTCACTTCAAGCTAGTTGGGGCAACTCTATGAATCTTTATTATCTTGCTTCATTTAAGCTCATCATGCTTCATTTATCTTTATGATAATTGCTCTCGGATTATTTAATAATGGCTCTCTAGCATCTCTTTTAGTGTAGCTATTTTTAAATTAGGTTTTAGGCCTAACTCACACCCAAAAGCTAGCTCAAAGGGAGGAGGATTGCCAAGCCTTATAAGGAGTTCATCCACTCTCATAAACCACCGATGTGGGACTTTGCATTCATTAACACCCCACTCACGCCGAGTGCTTAGCATCTGGTGCGTGGGCAATTTTGATTTTGGGGGCCCCAACATTGGGTGAGATGAGCCCTGCTCTGATACCATGTTAAATTAGGTCTTAGACCTAACTCACACCCAAACGCTAGCTCAAAGAGAAGAGGATTGATCAAATCTTATAAGGAGTCCACCCATCTCATAAACCACCGATGTGGGACTTTTGTCATTCTGTAACAGCTATTATTGGAAGGTGTAGTGTCTTATCGACTTGTCCTAATAACTTAGAAGGAGATCGAAGAGACTTTTTGGTAGACTTATTTTTAAACTTTTTTTGGTTGAGCATACCTTATCCTGAGGCTGATATACCTATTTCTTCAATAATAAGATGTTCATCTCCATATACAGATGAAAATTCAATAGCAACAACATTTTTTAGAACAATTTATCCGACATACCCTTGATGTAGTATTCATATGATCTGGTGCGAGTCTATTATCACATGCATTTGCTTTTCCATCCTCATTTCCAGTAGTTTCATTTTGCATAGCCACATGATCTAGTACATTGTTCTTTCTCCTGAAACAAGTACAATGCAAGACATTACAACATGTCAAGCATATGTAAGTCAAATTGCCGTTGTGATGTTACAATTTTAGTCTACTGTGGAGTCCACGCAAACTGACAAACTTGTAGGTAAGCACGCATGATAGACTTCGGAATTGACATATTAAATGCATCCAAAAAGCAGAATTGACGTGTCTAAAAATTCAATCCATTAAAATGGAAGAAACTATAAATATCCAGAACAAGATAAACTAGATGGTCTCAAAACACCCAGACTGTCGGGGAAATCTGTAAAGTTGGAACAGCGCAAATTGTATTTAGCCAACATTGCACTAGCTAGACAATAAGAGCTGGCTTCACATACCAACTTGAATGTTATGCATGCATCTAAAAATTCACTTATAGATGAATTTTATTTAGAAACATCCATTGAGCAAGAAACAGTATCTTCTTCCATTGCTAATTGAGGTGTCGAGCGTTCTATAGTAGTAGTTGGTGATACTAGCAGCATAGGTTCGTGACCAATCTCATTAGGAGGAACTGCCATTGCTGATAGAGGCGTCAAGCGTTCTGTAGTAGTAGTTGGTGATACTAGCAGCATAGCTCCAAGACCAACCTCATTAGGAGGAATGTATTTGTTCCTTGCATAAATTAGAGTAACAGGTTCATCTCCGTCAGATATTATTTCAAAGTCTGGTGCCTGGAGATTGTTATCAAGTGTCCTCTGGATTTGAGCAGGTGACAAAATGCATTGTCTAAGCTTTGATCTCTTTCTTCTTGGGACACTGACAGGATTCAAGTGAGGATCTTTGTCTGCTTCTCCAAAAAGAAGGTGAACGTTAGTGCACATAAAACAATAAGGTACTAATACAATAGATCTTTTTTTTGTGTGTGTGGGAGTGGGGGGTGAACTGTTCTAAAAAATTGTATGGTTAAATATATTCATTTTCCACTTTCTTATAACCCTTACGCTTAATAGAGAATTTGATTCAGGACACGGCCTAAATAATATCTTACAAATCCTTGTCGCTCCCAGACATGGACTCCAAGATAAACCTTTGGAGGTCCCTTCAGGGCATCTGAACTCCTCTCCGGTGGTAAACTGGAAGACTGTACTTCTTAACAAAGACTGGGGGGGGGGGGGGGGATTAGAAATTTGAGATTGCAAAATGTAAGTCTTCTGAAGAAGTCGATGTGGAGGTACATTGAGGAGAGAAATGCTTTCTTGAAAGAGGTGATTAAAGCTGAGTGTTTGGTGAGCTAACCCAATGGTGTACAGATAACACAGTTGAACCTTACGGGGTGTGGGACTATGGAGAACAATCAGAAGTTTGTGGCCTCAAATGAAGGCAGACTTATATATCAAAGTGGAAATGACAGTAAAACAAGATTCTGGAAGGATTTCTGGATAGAACAATTCCCTCTTAGGAATCTTTTCCAAATTTGTGTGAGTCTTGATGCTAATGTAGGGGACTGTTGGGCCAGAACAGGGATGGGATTTATCCTTTAGAAGACTTGTAAATGATTGGGATGTGGAAATGGTTGTAGAGTTACTAGGGAAGATAGGTGGAATGAGTATGGATACAATTTCCACAGACAAGATGTTGTGGAATCATTAAAAAAAGTGGTCTTTATTCAGTTAGCAGTGTCTACATGGATGTATAAGTTGTAACAGTCAATGATGTCTCAGTGTGTTGCTCTAATCTTATGTTGGTTGTTTTTCAATGTTCCCATCTCTTGTGAAAATCAATCTTGATTCAATCAGCTTAATCTAGTGGAAACATTATTTATTGCACTTGTGAGTTGTGATGTTTTCGGTTCATATGTCAAACTTGTTCAAAGTAGTGCATTATTGATGTGCTGTTTTTAAGGTTTTCACACACTCACACATAATGTTTTCAAAACTACTGGAGTATGTTTGAAGCTTATTAATGACTAAATGGTGAGCTTCTTTGTTTGTCTTCGGCTGCAGGTCCAACCCAGATGTTCTGGCTTAGCCTCTGCCTCTTTGTGATGATTTAACTTGCTGGGTTCTCAGAACTCTAATGGTCAACCTGAAAAACAAAGTGATCATACCCAGTGTATGAAATATGAGCGAGTTGGGTTATGTTTCGGTTTTGTTTGACCCATTTTCAACTCATTTGCCGTCACCACTGAAGAGCCTTACATATTCTTTGTTTAATCTTTATATGAAGACGTATTTAGTTTTTATGTCACGATAATGAGCAAATTAATGATCAATGCATAATGGCATATTGATTCCTAAAGGAAACATCAAGTACATTGAGTATTGGCCACTAAAACAAGACAAGCAAGGCAGCCTCGCCGTCAGCACAAATATCGAGTAATTTATTCACCAAAATTAAGCATCTGTGATTACGTTTAGTCATCTCATTGGGACAATTTATTATGTACTTGCTTTGTTTCAAGAATGGTAATTGCTTTGACTATAAATTTCCATTTTTAGCTTTGGCAATGGTTGACCAAATAGTACCTTTCAATCTTCAATTAGTTGATTTTAACAAATAAGGAGTAATAGTTTAATGGTCTAGTGTCCAATTATAAAATTAAAAGTCTTGCTTCTGAATATCTTTATATTGTTGTTGATGTGATTCTTTTTAATTATTCATTGTTCAAAAATGTATTTGCTTCACTAATTCAGATTTGCATGGTAGTAATGTAACATTAAAAATTTGTCTAAATATGGTTGTGGAATTTAAAATTCTATAAATTTATTAATAACTTTTTTTCCAAAATTATCCTTGTCTAATAAAATATTGAACAAATGTTGAATAAAATAACTCATTTTATTAATGAGAATCTGGTCAAACCTTTTAAAAATTACCTAAAATGGACTGGAGGGCAATTTATGAATGCTAAATTAAATAATTTCCAAGTATATGAGGGGTCAATTTTTTTTTTTAGAATAGAATAAAAGGAATGGAAAAAGGTCAAAACTATGCTTAAATTATTCGAAATAGCTTAAATATATCCTTAAATTATATTTCGGCTAAAAAATACCTTTCCCGTCAAACTATTGGGCAATGTTACCCTTCTAGTTAACGGAAGTATCCATGTGTGTGTTAAATGCCACATGGACGCCACATGGATGTCACACGTGCATGTTAAACAGATCCCAGTTCCACATAGACGACTACGGAAAAGGGTCAAAACTACGTTTAAACTATTCGAAATAGCTTAAATATAGCCTTAAACTGTATTTCGGCTCAAAAATGTCCTTTCCGTCTAACTATTGGACCACGCTTGCCCTTCTGTTTAACAAAAACATCCACGTGTGGTGCTAAAATGCCACATGGACTCCACATGTGCACGCCAAACACACCCCACCTCCACATAGACGACTTAAAGCCCTAATATCACTCTTTCCCCCCTCATTTATCATTTAATCTCAAACATGTTAACCTTCAATTCCTTGTTTAATAAGCTAGTACTCCAAGAAATTTGGCAAACAAACGTTGAAATTGTAGGAGATGATCTTCAACAATGCCTCTGATTGAAGAAAATGCAGACATAAACTAAGAAATGAAAAATGGAGAACAAGAGATCTCTTTTTTGAAATGATTCGGGTTTGGTTGGTTTGAAGAAATCAATTTAAATTAGATTTAATTAAAAGAGTGAGTATCACGCGTGTGTTCACAGTAGAGAAAATCGTCAAAATGTTCATTTACATATATATTCAATACTTTTGTGGGACAATAGGACGTCCCCAAAGTTAAGGTGTCTTTATGAAAATCCGGAACACTTTAGTGGTGACTTTGACTTTATGTAATAATTGAGAAAAAAACTTATTTTTTAATTAATCGTATATGAGAAGGATATTAGCTTAAACAGTAGGTTGGATACAAATTTGTCAATAATAATTAATAAAAACCTGTGTGACAAGTTGAGATGTCATTGTTCATTGACAACTAATTTGTTTACATGCCAAAGAATCATTTATATCTAATCTTCGCATTTTCTTGCTTATAAATAGCACTATCCCTCGACATATCTTATTTGACTAATTTTGTGTTGCAACAGCCAACAAGTGCTTAGTAAACCGAGAAGGATATTAGCTTAAACAGTAGGTTGGATACAAATTTGTCAATAATAATTAATAAAAACCTGTGTGACAAGTTGAGATGTCATTGTTCATTGACAACTAATTTGTTTACATGCCAAAGAATCATTTATATCTAATCTTCGCATTTTCTTGCTTATAAATAGCACTATCCCTCGACATATCTTATTTGACTAATTTTGTGTTGCAACAGCCAACAAGTGCTTAGTAAACCGACACCTCATATTTGGACTCTCTGTCTTTTTTATTTCTTTTCTCTTTCCAACATAAGCTACGAAAGGTCACGGGAAAAGTTGTTCTGCTTGTCATATTTGCGACGATATTTACATGGGTGGCTCAAGCACAAGGCTAAACGTCATGGACCAGGAGGGTTGACACAGACAAAAAGTGGTAACAACTCTTTAATTCTACTTGTCACACATACTTTTATCAATTATTATCGTCAAAAAACACCAACAAATAGGCCATATAGTTTGCAAAGATTTAATAATTAATATCTTTTTATTTTACGTTTAAAATTATTTATATACTTGAATTTGGATGATTTTATTTTTTATTTTTGCTATGTTTGATTATTTTTTAATGGAGATGGAGTACTATGGTGCTACAAGAATAATTGTAATATTCAAAATTGTAATAACTACATGGGTATCGATTTGCCCTTCTCCTTAGAATTCATCTATTTTATATTTAATTATTTTTGTTTATTTTTTCTTAATATCATGTATTCAGAAATTACTTATAAAAAAATTGATTAATTTTCAAAATTTCGATTATGCGGAATAAATTGGGACTAAGAGAGTAACATAATTTATTTGAAAATTACGTTAAAATTACTATAAATCTCAATAACTAATGACTTAAAATATTTTTAAAAATATAATAAAAAACTGATTATCTTTTGAAATTTCACCTATGTCACATAAACTGAGACAAAAGGGGTAATATATATTATTTAAAAATTATATTAACTAAGAAATATAAAGTATGTGTCTTCTTAAAATAAAACATATTTAAAAAATTGATTAACTCTCCAAATTTCACGTGTAACATAAATCACAATAATTAACAATTTAAAATATTGATAAACTCTCTAAATATTACATGTGCCACATATATTATTTGAAAAGTACATTGAAAATATTGTATAAATAATTAACAATAAAACAATATTTTAAAATTTAATTGACGTTCTTAATTCTATTTGTGTTACATAAATTAAAATAAATAAACTAATATATATTGGATCCGAACTTGCCTTTATTTTTGTTTCTAATTTATTAATAATTGAGAAAAAAAAGTGTTTTTTAATTAATCGTTTATGAGAAGGATATTAGCTTAAACACTAAGCTGGAAAGGATATTAGCTTAAACAGTAAGAAAAACATGCTTACGATTTAATATATGCGTAGACATTATGCAACATTTCTTCTTCTTCTTCTATATATAAACGTGTTTTTTAATTAATCGTATATGAGAAGGATATTAACTTAAAGAGTAAGAAAAATACGCTTACGATTTAATATATGCGTAGACATTATGCAACCTTCTTCTTATTCTCTCTATATATACCACCATTCCAAAACATTGACAATCAAAAGGGACTCCTCTTCTTCTTCTTTGTTTTGTCTGTCGTCGATATTCATCGCTACAAGTGCCACATATATTATTTGAAAAATATTATATAAATAATTAACAATAAAAATATTTAAGAAATTAGTTGATTCTCCTAATTCTATTTATATTATTTGAAAAATATTATATAAATAATTAACAATAAAAATATTTAAAAAATTAGTTGACTCTCCTAATTCTATTTATGTCGTATAAATTAAAAATTAAAATAATAAGCCTGAATTTTTGTATCTAGTTTATTTTAAGTAATAATTGAGGGAAAAAAACATGTCTTTTAATTAGTTGTATATTAGCTTAAATAGCAAGCTGGAAAGGATATTAGCTTAAGCAACAGGTTAAGAAAGATTATGCAACCTTTCTTCTTCTTATTCTTCTCTATATATATTCCACCATTCCAAAACATTGACAATCAAAAGGGTCCTTCTTCTTTGTTTTGTCTGTCTGTCTGTCGTCGATATTCACGGCTACAAGTGAGTAAAATTTCATTCTTTAGGGCTTTTGATGCATTGTGTCCTGTGTTTATGAGTATTTGTAAATTTTCTTTCATTACTTACATGTTGTTACTTGATAGTTTATGTGGTCGGTACAATCTCCATACCATGGCATTCGCCACTTTCTTGCATTCTTGAATTCAGAAAACTGAATCTGGGGAATGTTGCTCTCTTATTCTTCCTTTTTCTTGGTTCCCCTTTAATTTACCCTTTTCCAAATCCATTATATATCTGTTTCTATATATTGTAATCCCAAGAGAACGTTCTTGGTATTAATTAGTACACATAGTCTACATTACTACATAAGCATATGAATCAATTTAGTTGAAATCAGGTTCAACAATCCATGTAACGCGGATCCAAGAAAAGTGGCATGACGTAGATTAACACTACTATAAGAAAAGAAAAGAAAAGAAAAGAAAAAAAGATTGATACCAAGAATTTGTTTTCATACACTCTTAACAACATTTTCCAACTTTCTTGCATATTCTTCAAAACTTAATTTTGTTTCTAGCTTGATTTTGGTGCATTACTATGTCTCAGCAGAAAGACCACATAGGCTATTGCATGGGAAATAGGGAATGACCTACACACACTCTTTGAATATGTTTTTCCCAATGATTTCTTTGCCAAATGGATTAATTGTAGCATTCTTTCTCGCCTGTGGTCAAGGTGAGGATTGACATTTATAGATGCTACACTTACTACTGCCAATTTCATGAAAGAAGAGATATCATATTTACTTTTCTAGAGAAGCAAGGCGGCTTTGGAATTGGTCGAAAAGCTAAATCTGCTCCTTGTGGAAGTAGCTATGCTTCTTGAGTTGTACGCTTCTAAAAAAATGTTAGTAATAACTGCAGTACATCAGTGGGATTTCTTATGGTGGGTAGTGTTATTGCTTACAATTTCTAGAACCGATCTTGTGCCAGGTATTCATGCTTGTAGTTGTCTTTAATTAGTGATTAGAAAATCAATTCAATCTGCTTTCCTAACTGCAGTACCATTAGACTTTAGTGCAGCAACAAATGCTACATCTGGTCAAACACAAAACGTATCTTTGGGCTCCTCCACTTTACCTTGGAAAGAAATATGACTTTATTAGTGTGGCCAATGAACGTCTAGTGTGGTCCAGGGATGTCAATGTCTCAGATTCCTCCATACTTGGATATCCAAGAGCTCCTGCATTTGTTGTTTCAAGCAACTCACACTTTGGCACCCCAAGACTTGATTCATACTCCTTTGGCCAACCAGAAGAATCCATGTTAGGGTGCAAAGGTTAACTTTATTGTCCATTTTCTCATGTATTGGAGCAGATTAATCAACGTTTTGAGGGAGAATTTTTCTCTGTAATCTATATGCTCTATATTGATCTGAAAGCTTTTACTAAATACCACTAGGTACTATTTATTCCTACTTCATATTTTTTGATATCTTTAAGTGTTCAATCTTGATCAAATTTGCAAACCAGGAAAAGAAAGTACAGACCACCCTTTCTCAAGAGCTCTGGTTTTGGAAAGTCAGCATTTGGCATTAATCAGAAAGGAAGTAGAATAACATCATATATTGCAACTCTAGAGAACGATATCACAGGACCCGGTGGTGGAAAAATTCAATCCATTTGTGGAATATAATGCAGACTTATAAAGATAAAAGCCAGGAGGAGTTGAGGTTTAAGGACTACCAGTTAGGTGATAAAGGTATCCTTAATTTGTTCTCTTCTGTAATATATATGTTCTGTATTCATCTGAAATCCTTGTTGAGCTTTTATTAAATACTACCAAGTACTATTTGTTCCTACTTCATATTTTTCCATATATATTCTTGAGAACATACTTTTCAATTTCTCCACTTTCTTGCATTCTTGAATCTGGAAAACTGAATCTTGGAATGTTGCTCTCTTTTTTCTTACTTTTTCTTGGTTTCCCTTTCTTTGTGATTAGTTCTTGTTAGTTGATATACTGTTTATGCCGTTTAGGTAGATGTAACTTCGTCAAGTTTCTGGCATTTGTCAAGTAGGTTTATTCAAATTAATTTCAGTATAAGATATAAACATCAATATAGTTGTCCAAGTTCCAAACAAACTCTTCAAAGTATCAGACATGATTATGTTTTTATAGCTGCACTTTTATTGTTAAACTCATACTGTTTATGTTTAACGTGGAAGCAAAAGTTGTAGGCTATTATGAAAATTTCTACTGTTGTTGGTTGCAAGTTTCTAATAACCCTGCTACGATCAGACAAAAATCTTCATTGATAATTCACCATTCATCTCTAAGTCAGCATATGTTGCCACCGAAATATAAACCTACAAGTGATATACCAAAGGTGAGAAGTTGAATTTTATGTGAGACTTGTTTAGTAGTTTGTGGCATGCTTTGGTTGATGGACCAAAAGTCTAAGATAAACAGAGATCATATGCAAAGATTGCAAGTACGGGTATCCTTTTGGTGAAATAATACAGCACAAAGTCCAAATTTTCCTCTAATCCAAGTAAAACACTGGAAAATTTAACAGGACTATAAAATTTGTTTATGTAGTTCTCTTTTTCATGGATGAAGAAAACGCTTCTGGCTAACTGAGGACAGAAGTCATCATCATTCCAAGGGACTGGGAAATTTTCTAAAATTTTCCCTTATACCAACACTGTTGAAGTTTGAGGTGGGAATTCAGTCAGGGTTCGAGGTGGGAATATTCCCTTCTACCACACGGTTCAATTTTTTGGTTTATTTTATCAAACAGGGATCAGGAATTTCATTTTTTTGGTAACTAAAAACTGTGGAACCTAGATTTTGCAAAATCAAAACCAGTAGCGAATATGAATTACCAGAAACTGAATTGTTTTGGATCACTGGTCTTGTATTTGAATGCAGGAACCTGTAACAGGTGTTCCGACATTCCATGAGTGGTGCTCATCTCCTCTGCTAACAACAACAACAACAAACCCAATGTAGAACCATAAGCGGGGTCTGGGATAGAGTGTTCACAGACCCCTACCTCGTAGAGGTAGAGAGGCTATTTCAGCAAGATCCTCAGCTCGAGTAATGTACATCAAAGTAGTTAAAAATTCTGTCTTTTCTACTTTTGTAAGATATTGTACCAGCTAAAAACATCTAAAGAACAATGGAACACTATAGAGTTCTAGAAGATAAGGGTAGGATAAATCTTGAAGGTGTAGAAAATAACTAATTTGGCCTTTACTAGCATTCCTAAAATTTATTTAAAAGTGCTTTCAGATTACGGCTTTCTAGTTATGTTGAGAAGTCTATAGGAAGCTTACCTGAGATTTGGTGCTCTGTTAACCACGTTGCCTTTTATACAGGGGAACAAGAAGAAATTGTGTGGAGAGTATTTTCGAAGTATTTCCAAATAGAATATGTTGGTATTTTATCTTGACCTATAGGTTATTGACATCTTAATGTATATGTTTCTATGTGTCTATTTATTGTAACAGGATAACTGTTATTGCACTTTCTGACATATTGTGACTTGATCGTAGGTATGAATTTAGCAAAGAAATTGTTGAATGCCGTGGTATGGCTTATGATGAAATATCTATAGACATCTCTTCTTAGTTCTATGGGGAAATTTCCCTGTCACGAGAATAAAATGACTAAAAATTGTATTGCCTGAATCACTGGGCTACTAAAACTGGATCCCATCATATTTAGTTGCTCAAGTCATGTGATATTTATTTTTAATATAGTTTGAAGTTTTTCAAGAATAAAAACTGGCACACCATCTTTTCGACTTGCCTGTAAGTTGAAATTGTAAACGGAGATATAAGTAAATGGAACAAAGAGGTGTTTGGGAGGGTGAAAGTTTAAAATAAGAGAGCTAATAAATGAGGTGGGGGAGATTGAGCATGTGGAAGGGATGAGGATGTTAGAAGAAAGGGAGAAGGTCAGATATGAGTAGGCAAAGAGGGAGCTTGCGGCTCTAGCGGTTGCCGAAGAGACTAGTTGGAGGCAAAATTTGAGGGCATTGTGGTTGAAAGAGGGGGAATTCTAACAAAAAATTCTTTCATAGGGTAGCCATAGCAAATAGGAAGAGAAACTTTATCGTTTTTATAGGCGCGTGAGGGGGAGGCGGAAGTGGAGGAGGCCATTGTATGGTTTTATGAACATTCGTTCAAGGAAGTTATCAGGTGGAGACAAAAATTCTGGGGGGCGCTAGTATTTAACCTAATAGGGGAGGGGGTGAGGGAGTGGTTGGAAAGGGCTGTAGAAGAAGAAGAGGTGAGGGATAGTTGTCTGGGTGACAAGGCTCCAAGTCCTGATGGATTCTCGTTTGCTCTTTTCCAACAATGTTGGAGGATAGTCAAATGTGAGCTGTTGGTGACCATTGCAGAATTCAGAATTCAGGGGAGTACGAGAAAAGTCTTAATGCATCCTTTGTTACTAATGTGCCAAAGAAGGAAGGTGTGACAAGTATAAAGGACTATAGACCTATTAGTCCGGTAGGAAGCATTTACAAGATTCTATTTAAGGTGCTTTCTAATAAATTAAAAAGGTTCAGAAGTGCTTTCAAATTCACTACCCTCTTTTTGGGTGGGCTGGGGTTGGGGGATGGATAGGAGGTGGGTGGGAAGAAGCTGTGCTCAAGATCCACTGAGTTTGGAACCTCGGGGATTTCTCCGGTTATAAAAAATTTACTTAATTGAAATGTGCCTATGTCTGCATAAGTCTGTTGATGCCGGTAGATATAGCAACACATGTCTTTCAAATATATGATATTTGTTTGATTTCAATTTTGTAGAGCTTTCTAGAAGTAGATTCATTAACCGAAACAAATTTAAGCAGAGATGTAGCTTAAGTTGTCGAGAGCCGTTGTTGACCTCTAGGATATCCTATTTTTGCTCCACACCGAGCTCTTCGAAAATATAGTTTCTGGCTGGAGACCTCGAGCAATTAATGTCAAGCAGTAATTAAATAAGGTACCTCAAGTAGTTGTTATGAAATATGCAAGGATGTACCAAATCACAAAAGAGATTGAACATACACTATTACCTGACTTGCTTTTGAAATTCTCAATTTTAGTTCTAGACTGCAAAGAAGATTGTCGATGAGGAAACACTTGTATATTTGTATTTTCTTGTATATACCAAAAAAACAGAACAGAGGTGGCATGTCAATTCTTAGATAAAAGCCAAAGAGATGTTTGGAAGAAGAAGTTTCTTAAAATTAAGAAGTGTATTGTATCCATAGAAATAAATAAACTGATTGTTGAATTGTGTTTTCAACAGATCAAATTGTGTCTCTACCTCCGTGTGATGAGTCTATTAGTTGTTTACTACTTCGGGTGCTTTCCACATTTTCTGTTTCAGTTTATTGGAATGAATGGAAATACCTCACAAACTGGATGATTAATAATGCAGCTGTTATCTTAACTAGAAGATTTTTTATTTAGTTTTCTGGCAGTTAGTACAAATGAAACTATTCATTTTGCTCATTTAGGATTTTAGGTGCTGATCTTCCAGATGGACTCAGTTGTGCAGTTTCAAGTATCAATATGTTTATACTCGAAGGATATAAATATAACCTCTTAATTACATTTTTTTTTTTGATGGATTGATAAGTTACCCAAGAGATTATGAGGAAAAGAGACAGAAGATGTGTTATTTGCAACAGATGCAAAGGAAGGAAACATAGATTCAGTTACTTGACGAAAAAGAAAAGAGCAATGAAGTGGAACAAACAAAAACATGGAGGAGTTACGGATAAATTGTTGGATTTTTCCTTATGATTGTAGTCTTTATTGACATAATGGTAAGGTTACTTAAATAGAGTAGTAGGTACCGGTGCTTTGATTTGTCCTCATATTCTCTTAACTTTGAAATGCTTTTTACGATTCCTTTCTAGCACTAATTTCAAGTCTCTATGTTAGCACTATTTTTGGCTGTGGGGATTATCTGATTGCTATTTTCTTTTATCAGGTTGAACAAGTATGGTTACCATGACTCATCGTGATACTTGCAATCATACTAAAACTTGTCATGTCAATTAGTTGTACATACTTTGGATAATATTGCACTATGAATGTACATGTTAAGACAATACAGCTAAATTATTGGAATCAAAGGGCTAGAAAATATATTAAGCTAAAGAGAACATCTTTTGTCACTTCAAGAAGTAATTAATTTGTAGATATGAGTAGTGATGAAAAGACAATGGTAGATTTCTTTTGATGATAAGGTTTTTACCATAACATGTATTTTTTGATGATAAGTTGGTTTTAGCTTGACTTTATTGCATTAAGTTGTAGCACATAAATGATGACTGGATGCGATGAAATGGGACAAAGTGAATTTGATATCATATGGAGGAATGTTGTCTCAATTGTGAGAAATGTTGAAAAAGAATATTATTGAATTGTTGTTGTCTCTACATTATTACATTGAGACCCTATTTATAGACACTAGAATACAATCATTTACCAAGTTGGATACTATTAACTATTCCTATTTGTATTCATATTCCTATTCTAAATAGGATTGTATAAACCTATTCTTATTCTAATAGGATTGTATAAACCTATTCCTATTCTAATAGGATTGTATAAACCTATTCCTATTCTAATAGGATTGTATAAACCTATTCCTATTCTAATAGGATTGTATAAACCTATTCCTATTCTAATAGGATTGTATAAACCTATTCCTATTCTAATAGGATTGTATAAACCTATTCCTATTCTAATAGGATTGTATAAACCTATTCCTATTCTAATAGGATTGTATAAACCTATTCCTATTCTAATAGGATTGTATAAACCTATTCATATTCTAACAGTTTCAATTTAGTAAAATGGGCAGAAGTTCAACAAAGGGGGAATAATGGGGGTCTGGGAGTAAGGAAGCTCATGTTACATAACAAAAGTCTGCTAAGCAAGTGGCTATGGAGGTACAACCAAGAGGAGCATGCACTATGGAAAGAGGTTATACAACACAAATTTGGCCTAGGGAATAGAAGGACTTAAATGTTAGAAATGAGGTGTGATTGGAAGAGAGCAACATTGGAGTACGGAATTGACTACTGCATGTAACATATAACTCCTAAAAGCTCTTATATAAGTAGTATATAAATGTGACACGGAGGGATGGTCTAGTGGTAAGGAACCTCCACCTTTATATATAACAAGAGGTTTGAGTCACTGATGGCGCAATGTGAGAAAAAGAGTCATTATTGGGCTCTTGGGTATGGGGTTAAGTTTACCTTATCAAAGAAATAGCACTATGAAGAAAAAAGAAAATAAATGGTACTACCTCCAGTCCATTTTAAATGTTGTTTTAGCCTTTCAAAGTTGATATGAAATAAGTGTCATTTTAGGAAACCAAGATGACTTGATTGTTATTTTTTAAAATCATATGTTTTGCTGTTGATGTATAATGATTATTTTGACAAGTAAAAGGATTTTATATGGTGTGTGGAACAACAATATTAGTGAAAGTACATGTCCATTAACTACTTTCTATATCGTCTACTCTGGATGTAGTTGTAACATCACAAGCATACACCTGAAGCAAAAATACAGAACTAGGCCTGCCGATAAAGAAGGGAAGTTAAACCGAAGGCAACAAACCGTATTTTTTGACTTTGGAATCCTTAGTTGCAAGTTTTGTGTTAAGCTATCATGTTATGTTCCTTCCATCAAGATTCATTCTTGTACTTGAGTATATAGTAGAAAATCTTCACTCCACCATTTTTCTTTTTCTTTTTTGGCATAAAATTGTATCTCCCATAAATTCTACTTCCCTTTTGATGAAATAATTAACTTTGTAGGTTAAGCATCCTATGTTTCAAACAAAATTAAGAATACGAAGGTACAACCCCTAAGCATCCTATATCGTCTGCTCGGGATGTAGTTGTAACGTCACAAGCATATACCCTGAAGCAAAAATACAGAAATAGGCTTGCCGATAAAGAAGGAAAGTTAAACCGAAAGACAACAAGGTGTATTTTTTGACTTTGAAATCCTCAGTTGCAAGTTGTGTTAAGCTATCATGTTGTGTTCCTTCCATCAAGTTTCATTCTTGTACTTGAGTATATTGAAGAAAATCTTCGCTCCACAATTTTTAAATTTCTTTTTTGGCATAAAATTGTATATTAAGCATCCTATGTTTCAAACAAAATTAAGAATACGAAGGTACAACCCCTAAGCATCCTATATCGTCTGCTCGGGATGTAGTTGTAACGTCACAAGCATATACCCTGAAGCAAAAATACAGAAATAGGCTTGCCGATAAAGAAGGAAAGTTAAACCGAAAGACAACAAGGTGTATTTTTTGACTTTGAAATCCACAGTTGCAAGTTTTGTGTTAAGCTATCATGTTATGTTCCTTCCATCAAGATTCATTCTTGTACTTGAGTATATAGTAGAAAATCTTCACTCCACCATTTTTCTTTTTCTTTTTTGGCATAAAATTGTATCTTAAGCATCCTATGTTTCAAACAAAACTAAGAATACGAAAGTACAACCCATAAGTAGCCTTTTTCAGTTGTATGATGCTCCGGAGCCTAAGATATGCTTATCTGTTTCCTTTTTCAGCTATCATTACTTACATTGCTCTGCCACTGAACAAAAGAATGACAGATTCTAACATTTCACATCTTTTCCCACGTCCCATTTTCCTTTTCGAAGGAGTAATATCTTTCACTCTCTTTTGCCCCTTTCTTTTGTTTTAGTACTTCATGGCCTTCTATGAAGTTTTATGGTTGTGAATAGTTAATTCATTGTTTTGGTTTCTGCAATATTTGTTGCTAGAGTAGCAATATAAGTTGTGGAATCAGGAATGTCACCAAAGGAGTGTTGTCGTTTAACTTTTACTAAGTCTACTTCTTATTACTTCAAAGTCTACTAAGTAATATAAAAGTATAAATCTATTTTGAAGAGTGCTATGTTGCCACTTGGGGGCATTAATGAAACTCAGTACTAAATTATTCTCGGTCTCAATTGCTCTTGGATTATTTAATAATGGCTCTCTAGCTTCTCTTTAGTGTAGCAATTATTGGAAGGTGTAGTGTCTTATTAACTTGTCCTAATAACTTAAAAGGAGATCGAAGAGACTTTTTGGTAGACTTATTTTTGAACTTTTTGTGGTTGAGCATATCTTATGCTGAGGCTGATATGCCTATTTCTTTAATAATAAGATGTTCATCTCCATATACAGAAGAAAATTCAATAGCAGCAGCCTTTTTTAGAACAATTTATTGACATACCCTTGATGTAGTATCCATATGATGTGGAGCGAGTCCATTATCACATGCATTTGCTTTTCCATCCTTATTTCCAGTAGTTTCATTTTGCATAGCCACATGATCTAGTACATTGTTGTTTCTCCTGAAACAAGTACAATGCAAGACATTACAGTTGTAATGCCAAACATATGTACGTCAAATGGCCTTTGTGATGTTACAATTTTAGTCTACTGTGTAGTCCACACAAACTGAAAAACTTGTAGGTAAGCACGCGTTATAAACTTCGGAATTGACATATTAAATGCATCCAAAAAGCAGAATTGACATGTCTAAAAATTCCATCCAATAAAGCAGAAGAAATTATGAATATCCAGAACAAGACAAACTAGATGGTCTCAAAACACCCAGACTGTTGCGAGTTGCTGTTGGGGAAATCCGTAAAGTTGGAACAGCCCAAATTGTTTTTAGCCAACATTGCACTAGCTAGACAATAAGAGCTGGCTTCACATACCAGCTTGACTGTTATGCATGTATCTAAAAATTCACTTGTAGATGAATTTTATTTAGAAACATCCATTGAGCAAGAGACAGTATCTTCTGCCATTGCTGATTGAGGCGTCGAGCGTTCTATAGTAGTAGTTGGTGATACTAGCAGCATAGCTCCAAGACCAATCTCATTAGGAGGAATGTATTTGTTCCTTGCATAAATTAGAGTAACAGGTTCATCTCCGTCAGATATTATTTCAAAGCCTGGTGCCTGGAGATTGTTATCAAGTGTCCTCTGGATTTGAGCAGGTGACAAAATGCTATGTCTAAGCTTTGATATCTTTCTTCTTGGGACACTGTCAGGATTCAGGTGAGGATCTTTGTCTGCTTCTTCAAAAAGAAGGTGAACATTAGTGCACATAAAACAATAAGGTACTAATACAATAGATATTTTCTTTTCTTTTTTGTGTGTGGGAGTGGGGGGTAAGCTGTTACAAAAATTTGTATGGTTAAATATATTAGTTTTCCACTTTCTTATAACCCTTACACTTAAGAAAGGATTTGATTCAGGACACGACCTAGATACTATCTTACAAATACTTGTCGCTCCCAGACATGGACTCCAAGATAAACCTTTAGAGGTCCTTTCGGGGCATCTAAACTCCTCTCCTGTGGTAAACTGGAAGACTGTACTCCTTAACAAAGACAGGGGGGGGGGTGCTGGGAATTTGAAATTTGAGATTGTAAAATGGAAGTCTTCTGAAGAAGTCGTTTGTGGAGGTACATTGAGGAGAGAAATGCTTTCTGGAAAGAGGTGATTAAAGCCGAGTATGGTGAGCTAACCCCATGGTGTACAGAGAACACAGTTGAACCTTAAGGGGTGTGGGAGTATGGAGAACAATCAGAAGTTTGTGGCCTCAAATGAAGGCAGACTTTTATATCAAAGTGGGAAATGACAGTAAAACAAGATTTTGGAAAGATTTCTGGATAGAACAGTTCCCTCTAAAGAATCTCTTCCAAATTTGTGTGAATCCTGATGCTAATGTAGGTGCCTGTTGGGCCAGAACAGGGATGGGATTTAGCCTTCAGAAGACTTGTAAATGATTGGGAGGTGGAAAAGGTTGCAGAGTTACTAGGGAAGATAGGTGGAATGAGTATGTATACAATTTCCACAGACAAGATGTTGTGGAATCATTAAAAAAAGTGGTCTTTATTCAGTTAGCAGTGTCTACAGAAGAGGTCTCCAGCTGATGGTTGGGGATCCAAAACATCTCTGGAACTATTTCTGGAGTGGGGACATTCCTACAAAAGTGAAATGTCTCACTTGGCTACTGATAAAGAGGGCATGTTTAACACAGGAAGTACTACAGAAGAAGGGCAGACAGCTGGTCCCTAGGTGCTTTTTATGCAATTTGACAAGAGAAACTGACAGCCACCTATTCTTGCCTTGTAATTTACTAAGCAAACCTGGAATTTGTTTCTCAGCATCTCTAGTCTGAACTGGACAATGCCAGAACATACTTTAGAGTTGTTAAAGAGCTGGGTTAGGAGAGGTGGCAGCAAGAGTCAAAAGAGATGGTGCAGTTAAGTCCATCATGTATATATAAGTGAAATTTTTTTACCATTTGTTTCTTCCATTTGCATGCATTTGTCTGGGGATGATCCTGCTGAACCTAAGCTTGATATGTGAATCATTTCCTCTTCAAGACAAGCTGAAGAGCCATCCTGTCCAGAAATCTCTTCACCAACTTCCAGCTTTTGGTCATCACGAGCTAAGAGATGCGGCTTCATCTCAGAAGGTAACTGATGGCTCTGTTTTTCGTTGCTTGCATGTTTGGGAAGATAGTCATCTAGTGTTCCCCTAGTTCGCCATCTTATTCCACACGCATTGCAGAGCACTGGTTTTGCAGTTGGCCCAGGTCTCCATAGGGGGGTTTCTGTTTGAGTTCACAATTAATTAGCATTTAAATGGGACAAAATATGAATAAAATCTTACAGGTAACTTATCTCAGAAACTAAAGCACAATGACCATTGACAATTAAGATTTTCTTTAAAAGGTTAAGAATGTACTGTACGAGAACAAAAGCGTCACGAAACTAGAGTACGTATAGCGGGGAATATCTTTGGCAAAACAAGAGGAAATATCTTTCTGTGAAACATATATAGACTTTTAGGATGTGTACACACATTTTCATCACCATCTTATGGCACCATACAACATAGTTGAACTAGCTTGATGGTGGAAAGATTAAAAAGGATTTGCTTGTTGTGTTAAGGAACCATGCAAAATAGTTAACCTCTTGGCAGACTGCATTTATTTGCATGATATTTTAAGGAGGAATGCTATCATCTAATCTGACAGTGGTTAACTGTATAATATTCAACAGGGACTTATTCTTTTCTCTAGCGCTCAACAGTAAAATAATTCCCTCCCCCCCCCCAAAGCAGATCACCCACTACTCTCCTGCACTGCAAGCTGCTGGCCTGACCTCTCACCACCACCGGCGACCAGGTACGAAATCCCCCTGCCCTCTTTCTTTCTCCCTTTCTCTGTTTTTTTTTTGTTGCACTTCCACACCGGTCAGCAAGAATCCAGCGACCCCATCCTGATGACCGACGACCGACAGACGACAGGAGTATATCGGAGCTCGCTGGGTTTCGGAAAATCAGTCCATAGTTTATTTTTATCCCCATCAACTCCTAGGTATGATCCACCATCCCTTTTATATATTTTCCTGTCTTATCTAGACCTGATTTTTCCTTGAGAGATTGTTCAGACCTTATCGTTTCTTGATTGTTAACTGATTTTATTAAATCTGATATTGTGTTTGTGAATTTATTATTGTGCCCTTGTGAATATTACTACATTTTCTTTGTTCCTACTTTGAACTGGTATCTTTGCTATAGTTTATTGCTTCTTTTTATTTTCTTCATTGTATTGTGTGACTGCCACTTTTGGATCTAGGGTTTTTGACGTTACGGGTTGCCCCACTTGATTATTTACTTTTGATTATTCTATAACTGGCATTAGTGGCTTCAAAAGGTTTGATGGTAGTTAAAAGTCATGTCAGTGATTTGGGGTGAGGGCAGGGGTTGTAAGGGTACCAAGGGAACTCCTAGGTTGAGAGTTCTGTCTTGGAACATAGGGACATTGGCGAGGAAGTCAATAGAGTTGGTGATTATTCTTAAGAGAAGGAGGATCAATATACCTTGTGTCGCAGGTTCAATCCCCACACCATGCAAAGCGAAGCCTGGTATTTAAGTGGAGAAGGGTAGAGGGGCGGGCCCATTATCCACTGAGTTTAGAAGGCTGTGATTGGTCCAAAGGGCGGGTCACAGACGGATTTCTCGGTTATCAAAATAAAATAAAAATATACCTTGTGTTTAGGACACCTAATGGGTAGGAACTAAGACTAGGGATATAGGTGGGTTCAAGTTAAGGTAATCAGGAAGTTTGAGTAGGAATGGAGTAGGTATTATAGTCTATGTTGCTCAGATTTTTCAAAAATGTCAAGTTGTGCATGTCGGATACTCCAAAAGTAGTGCATTTTGGAGAATTCGACACGGGTGCGGCAACAATTTCAGAGAGTCCAAGCAACATAGATTTTAGAGGAAGATCCTAATGTATCCTATAAATGAAGTCACCAACGTGAACTGGCTAGCTGCTATACATGATGGAGAATTTGGCAGTCTGCCATCAATTTACTTGGGACTACCTCTGGGGGCTAAATCTAAATCTATACAAATATGGGATAGAGTGATAAAGAAGTGTGAAAAAAAGCTAGCCAGGTGGAAAACTCAATACCTCTCCTTAGAGGAAGACCGACTCTCATTAATTCAGTCCTTGATACTTTACCAACTTATATGATGCGTTTATTTCCCATCCCACCAGGGGTTATCAAAAGGTTGGACAACATTAAGAGAGAGTTTTTGTTGCTGGGAAACAAAGAAAAGAAAGGGTACCACCTGGTAAAATAGAAATCTGTGATGACTGCTAAGAAGAATGGGGGCTTGGGATAAAGAATCTGGAATTTCAAAGCAAAGCTCTTAGAATGGAGTGGTTATGGAGATATGCCAATGACAGACAGTTGTTGTGGAGCAGGGTCATTGGTGCCAAATATGAAGCGGGAGACAGCAGGGTCCAAAATGTGCATCTATGCCAGGGATTGGGGACCAAATCTACAATTTATCCAAGATGACCTCGGTTCCTGTTAGACTAAGGGGAGCTGTTTTGAAAATCAATTAACATTTGGCTCGAGAGGTGAGAAAATTCAAGTTCGCTATGTTTTATGTTTAACAGATCGGCAATTTAGGGAAATTTGGTTATTTAGTGTTTCAGGCATGTGATTCTTCAATGTTTATTTGCTTAACATCAGGCACATAAATTCTAAATATCACTGAATCAATTATCCTGTAAAGCAAGAGATTATTGATAAACATAAAAGGCGGGATATAGGTGGTTAATAGAACTTACGCTTGATGCTACAATGGCAACATGGCCCTTGTTTACCCATAAAATCTGGTTCTGAATGATTCCTGTTCAAATCAGGTTGAAGCTACTGTTGCTAACGTTAGAGTTGGATTTGCTTTCAAAATCTAAAAATGTCTGACTGAGGCGACGGATAAAATATATAGACAGATAAGAAATCAGTAGACTACAGCTGGTCATTTATTTATGGAAATAGATTAATCATGATACGGGGTCATTAACTTTGATCTATTCTGTTTTCCCTTTTGTGACAGCTCATCAATTTTGATTACTGTAATTTCTCAACTATTGACAATAGAACTCCAATGAGAGAAATCTTAGATTCTCTATAAAAAAAAATGGGAGTGGGGATTTGGGGTTGGAGTGGATGGGTGAATGCTGGATTTGGTGAATCTTCACAATTTTAGGCCTTTAGTTTAGTGGTCAAGGCTTGTTAAGCAACGAATCTTAAGACAAGGGAGTATTAAATATTTTCTATATGATAATTGAAATATCTAAGAGTGAGCAAATAAGAGAGTTGCCAAATAACCAAGTGAAAAGAAAATCAGTTGCCAAAAACTTTCCAATTGACTGTCTGAATACACCTTAGTGAACTTCCAAATCATGAATGTTCTCATGTTTTTTCTTGGCAGCTTTATTGTCGATTTCTGAGGTACTTATCTCAACTGTTTGTTCTGACGACTCGACTCGCAATATTTTGGTAAGATGATATTGACTCATCTAAACAATATTTCCTTGTTCTTGAAATGCAGATAATCTATTATGGTCTTGGCAATCATTTTATTGTTTAATGGATTCAGTTATGGATGTTTCCTTTTCCAGTCCAGTCCCTGCTACTGAGATGCAGCAGCGGTACTTATTTTTTCTATCTTACTGTGCTTGCACATTTATCTGTCGCTATTGACAGAATTTCGTGTATCTAAGCAGATGGATTTTTCTTTATGTCATTCTCACTGACTTCCAATTAACAACCACTATCACGCCTCACTTCAAGCTAGTTGGGGCGACTCTATGAATCTTTATTATCTTACTTCATTTAAGCTCATCATGATTCGTATTCAAGATTACTAATGCATAATATATGAGGTGTCTCCTTGCCAGATTTCTCATTTTAACTTCCTATCCAACATGACTTGGAAACGTTTGAATATACTAGATAAGATTGTGTTTGATAAATTGATACTAGTAATAATGGTATTTCCCTTGCTTGCTTGTTTACTCGAATGTGAAGTAGGTACACAGTATAGTCCTTTGCCCTGAGTACATGGATGTATAAGTTCTAACAGTCAATGATGTCTCAGTATGTTGGTTTAAGCTTATGTTGGTTGTTTTTCACTGTTCCCATCTCTTGTGAAAATCAATCTTTATTCAATCAGCTTAATCTAGTGGAAACATTATTTATTGCACTTGTGAGTTGTGATGTTCAGTTCATATGTCAAAGTAGTGCATTATTGATGTGCTCTTTTTAAGGTTCTCACACATCATGTTTTCAAGGCTACTGGAGTATGTTTGAAGCTTATTAATGACGAAATGGTGTGCTTCTTTCAGCTGCAGTTTCAACACAGATGTTCTGGCTTAGCCTCTGCCTCTTTGTGATGATTTAACTTGCTGGATTCTCAGAAATCTAATGGTCAACCTGAAAAGCAAAGTGATCATACCCATTAGTGTATGAAATATGAGCGAGTTCAGTTTTGTTTGACCCATTTTCAACTCATTTGCCGGCACCACTAATATCTTACGGGGAAGAGCCTTGCATATTCTTTGTTTAATGGAAAAGTATTTAGTTTTTATGTCACGATAAGCAAATTAATGATCAATGCATAATGGCATATTGATTCTTGAAAGAAACATCAAGTAAGTTGAATATTGGTCACTAAAACAAGACAAGCAAGGCATCCTTGTTGTCTATTGAGTAACTTTGTTCACCAAAATTAAGCATGTGATTATATTGTGTGATCTTATTAAGACAATTTATTATGTACTTGCTTTGGTTCAAGAATGGTAATTGCTTTGACTATAAATTTCCTTTTTTAGTTGGCAATGGTTGACTAAATAGTACCTTTCAATCTTCAATTAGTTGATTTTAACAAATAAGGTAATAGTTTTAATGGTCTAGTGTCCAATTATAAAATTAAAAGTCTTGCTTCTGAATATCTTTATATTGTTGTTGTTGTTGATGCGATTTCTTTATTATTTATTATTCACTGTCCAAAAATGTATTGCTTTATTAAATCAAAATTGCACGATAGTAATGTAAAATAAAAAGTTGTCTAAATATGGTTGTTGAATTTAAAATTCCATAAATTTATTAATAACTTTTTTTCCAAAATTATCCTTGTCTAATAAATTATTAAACAAATGTTTAATAAAATAACTCATTTCATTAATGTTAATAGTTGACTTTTTTTAATGAGAGAATCTTTTTAAAAATCACTTAAAATGGACAGGGGATAATAATCTCTGAATGTTAGATTAAATAGTTTTTGAGTACCATTGGATCGATCATTTTTAGGATAGAATAAAAGGAATTTAGTCAAAATCTTTAAAAATCACCTAAAATGGACTAGTGGGAAGCAATATATAAATGCTAAATTAAATAATTTTCTAGTATATGAGGGGTCAATTTTTTAAAAATAGAATAAAAGGAATTCGGTTAAAATCTTTTTAAAAATTACCTAAATTGACTTGAGAAAAGCATTTTTATGGATGTTAATTTAAATAGTTTCTAAGTATATAATGGGTCAATCTTTTTTAGGTTAGAATAAAAGGAATCTGGTCAAAACCTTTAAAAATCACCTAAAATGAACTTAGAGGGAAACATTTTATGAATGCTAAATTAAATAGTTTCCAAGTATATGAGGGGTTGATTTCTTTTTTAGGACAGAATAAAAGGAATTTGGAAGAATCATTTTTATGTGTCGATCAATATCAAGAAATATTTCTAATATCTAGTGCTACCCTTAGGTTCATTTTGGTTGTCACATTTTTCTTTTGCATTTCTTTTTAAAAAAATATTAATTACAAGGATGATTGATTAAACTACTCTTATTTATTATTTAATCTCAATTTAATATTTGTATTCCTTTCACCTCCTTAATTCCTAATTGTTTTCGTTAAAGATTGAGACATTTTAAACTAAATGCATACTTGAATATTAAGATATTATACTAAAAAATTTATACTAAACAATTAAGACTATTTGTTATTTCAGCATGTGAATATGTGAAATTACATTTCTTTAGAATTAATAATATAAAATTTAAATGAACTATTAAATTGTATATTTATACTATATTAAGATACTTTTAAAAATTATATGACAATTAAAGGTGATGATTGCTAGCAATGATGGTTGTAGGTGTCGATTGGGATTATGTTGGGAGTGTGGTGATAATGAGTGGGCTAGTAGTAATGGTGGCAAACAATATCGACTAACTATAGTTGTTGATCGTTATAGTAGGTTTCTTGAAAAATACTCAAACACTAATTATTACTTTAAAACGCTTTTAAAATTTATTGATGAAACACAATAAACTTTTTTCTCATTTTAAAAATTTAACCAAATGGAAAAAATAATTAATATTATTTTAATTTTATTAATGGAGGAGTAACTATTTTAGAATTTTGCAGCAAAAAATGCACATTCTGAAAAAATAAAATAAAATAAAATTCTGATGTATCCTTGAATTTCAGAAAAAATGACAAAAATAGGTGAAAATTGTTAAGAACCAGAAGTCGTAAAGTGAAGGAAGGAGTAATTGAAGAAGATGAGGAGCAAACCAGTCGCTGTTTTCATGGCTTTCGGAACTAAAGGCGATATCTACCCTCTTGCCGTAACCCTCTTCCTCCTCTTCGTTTTTTTTTTTGTGTGTGTAAATGTAATGCATCGCATTGACATTCAATTGTTATTGCAACTAATTGAAAATTTATCTAAACATTCAATATTCGAATAATTTTTCGCCCCTTTACATTTATCTGTGTGTCAATATTGAAATAGTTTCTATTTCTGGATTTTGTGCTGTACTGGTTTCTGTAGGCTCAAAGTTTTGGGTTATCTTTCTTGTGCTGAATTTCATGACAGGCCTTGTATATTCCCTTCACAATATACAATGGAAATGTTTGTATGAATCATTAATTACCTATATAGAGGTTTTCTTTTACTTGTGCCATATATTTTAATTAGTGACTTGATGAATAGGCCATTGCTGCAGCGTTTGCTTGTGATCAAGAGCAATATCAAGTGGTTTTTATCACTCATTCAGCTCATGAGGTTAGCAAAAGCAGAACAATTCTTATTTGTTGCTTGTTGTCGCAATTTTAAGAGGAGATTGTTTTTGGACATGTTATTGTGTTGTTTGTGTTTATATAAAGTGATCTAGTTTGATTTCAGCAAGCCCTGGAAAGAAACCCAGATAATTTAGCCTTTAGGCTGGATAAGGCAGCCAAATTCTTTTCTCTTTGAACATAAATATGTGGCATTTCAGAAAGTTGACACTGAATGCTTCAGAGTTTTTTTTTCTTTCTTTTATTTCCTTTTGTTCCTGACAGAACTTGATGGTGCACTTGAGAGCAAATAAAGTTACGTATATACCGGTTTCATCGCCACCTGTTGTTTCCCCTCTTGAACATTGTGGTATGTCACTTTATACAGCTTCGTTATGTTTGTTCTTATCCCAATATATCATCAATCAAGTACTGCATGTTGATCAGGTAAGATGGAGTTATCTTTTTCTGCCCACAAAAGGGAAATTATCCAGAAACATAGGTATGAGTGTACTTCGATTATTGAGGATATCTTTGGAGATAGCTCAGTGGAAGGCGATGTTATTGCTATTAATTTCTTCGCTCTGGTAAATTCTCTGGCATTTAATTGTTCTATATCCCTTTTAATTTTTGTTTTTAGAGAGGAAATTTCCTTTCATCAAGATGAGCTTGGCGAGTCTATCTCCTTAGAAGGGTAGAAAGTTTGGGGGAGGAGGATGTGGAGAGAAGGAATGAGGAGGTGAATTGCTTTCAATTATATGTACAGGAAGTATAGTCATTGTCAATTATAGTACAGTCGCAACGCTTTGTTTTTTTCACCGTATAACTTGAGTTCCAGGAAGGTTGGAGTTTTGCTGAGCTTTTTCGGGTCCGTTGCATTGTGGTTGCTCCTTATGTTGTTCCCTATAGGTAGCAAGAGAAACTTTCTTATTTCCCTTCTTTCGATAACAATCATATTGTCTTTACCTCTGTCTTTAACTATGTATTTATTTACAAGTTACAACAATTTATGGCTCCTTTAATTTGTTAATTGGTATACCATGGATTTGCTTCGTATGGCAATGAACTTGATGAACATCTCTCCATGAACTTCTTGTTCTGGACTCACTTGCTTTCTTTGTTACTAGTAAGGTAGACCTGTTTGAGTATATGGAGGCCAAGCATTTAAACTCATGAATCCCTTACTTATGTGTAAAATATGCTCATCTTTCATCTGTTCATTCTGAAGCATCTTGGGCATTTGAAATTTCTCTAGTATCTGGACACTTAGGTTGGATGTTAATGCAGAACCTACACTGCTTGTTTGTCTGACTTTTTGCTCTCCTCATGCAATGTAGTGCTCCATCATCATTTGAACGGCAATTTAGGAAAGAACATCCAGGTTTATATAACCATCTCCAGGAAGCTCCCACTGACAAGGTACTTGACGAATTCTGTAGCCGCTTGGTATATTATTCACCGACTTTCATTTGGAAAATCAGTTCCACTTTTCATTTAAAATGTACAGTGAGTTAATGGATGGACTTATGGCTGTGATTCTAGTAAAATCTTCATCTACATTTCAAATTTTGTGCCTGTGGTATAAGCTTCTTCAGTACTAATACCAGCTGATTGATCGTCAATTTTGTTTCAACCCTGTTAGGTTGTTAATGTTATATGAGTCCTTCCCCTGCATTTTAGTCTTATTTTCTTTGAGTAAAGACAGCAATTGCATGAGTTGAGGCTTTTGCTGATTGTAGGTTGGCTGGAAAGATGTCATCCATTGGATGTGGCCACTTTTCACTGAGGAGTGGGGATCGTGGAGAAGTCTGGACCTGAACCTGAGTTCCCTTCCTTTTACGGTGTGTTCTTTACTCCAGCCAATGACAATTTTCCTAAATTTTCCTTTCTAATCAGAGCGTTGAACTTTGAGGCTGGAATTCACTCAATTTAGATATTCGTCTTTAAGGGGCAAGCCAATCACTGAACCACACGGTTCTATTTTTTAGCTTATTTTATGATGCAACAACCAGGCTTTTTGATAACTAAAAACTTTGTAGAACTTATATTTTTCTAAATCAAAACCAGTAACCAATTCAGATCTGAACCCATAAACTGAATTGTTTGGGTCACTGGTGTTTTGGTTAAAGGCAAGTAGTGCTCCCTCTCCTATTGAATCTCTGTTAATTTTTCTGCTTCCTTGTATTTACTGGTCTTTCATTTGGATGCAGGACCCTGTAACAGGTCTTCCGACATTCCATGAGAGGCTTCCGTCTCCTCTACTATTGTAAGATAATTGTACTAGCTAAAAAGTATCTATAGAACTATGGAACACTATAAAGTTCTAGAAGATAATAGTAGGATAAATCTTAAGGGTGTAGAAAAGAATTAATTTGGCTTTTACTAGCTTTTCAAAAATCTCTTTAAAAAGTGCTTTCAGATTGTGTCTTTCCGGTCATCTTGGGAAGTCTATAGAACTCTTACCTGAGATTTGGTGTTCCGTTAGCCATGTTGCCTTCTAAACAAAGGAGCAAGGAAAAATTGTGTAAAGATGTATTTTTCGAAGTATTTCCAAATAGAATAAGTCGATATTTTATCTTTGACCTATAGGTTATTGGCATCTTAATATATATGTTTCCATGTGTCTATTTATTGTCACGGGATAGTTGTTATTGCACTTTCTGACATATTGTGACTTGCTCACAGGTATGGATTTAGC